GCCAGGAATGTGGAAGCTAGCGAAGATCCTGAGAAATCGCAGACAACAAGTTCCCCCGCTGCAAGGAGCCTACGGGACCGCGTACACGAACGACGAGAAGGTCGAAGCATTCGCAGATAACTTACAACGGCAGTGTACGACATACATGCACCCAGATGAGGACGAAGACTTCGTAGAAGAAGTGGAAAGAAGATCCAGAAGAGCTACGAGAGGAGGAGAAATGGTGCAGCAAGCCACCTCCCCGACGGAAATCAGGGACATCATCAAGACTCTAAAGACCAGAAAAGCAGCGGGCTGCGACCGAATAGGGAACAGAATCCTGAAGAGGCTCCCGAGAAAGGGCATGGTGGCCATAACCAACATCGTGAACGCTATGCTGAGGCACCGATACTTCCCGGACAGATGGAAGATCGCGGAAGTAATAAACATCCCGAAGCCTGGGAAAGACCCAAAATTCCCACAAAACTACCGGCCAATCAGCTTACTAACTTCCTTGAGTAAAGTTGCAGAAAGGGCAATCGAGCGAAGACTTAGACAACAAACCGAGGACCTTAGAGTACTGCCAGACGAACAGTTCGGATTCCGGAGCGGCCATTCATCAGAGCACCAGCTGCTTCGGCTCGTGGAGTGTGGGACGCGTGCGTTCCAGGCTCGGCGAGTCGCGGGGGCGGTGTTCATGGATGTCGCGAAGGCATTTGACACCGTCTGGCACGACGGACTCATCTATAAGATGCAAGACAAGGGATACTCGACAGGGATGATTCAGCTGGTGAAGTCATATCTGAAGAACCGAAGATTCCGGGTTAGACTGGGAAACACCACCTCGACGACCAGAACTGCAGAGGCTGGGGTACCGCAGGGAGCGGTCCTATCCCCTCTACTATACGCCATCTACAGCTCCGACGTTCCGAAGACCCCAAATACGCAGCTGCTGATGTATGCGGACGACACTGCGTACGTAGCCGAGTCATTTCAGCCCCGCATGGCTACGACTTACCTACAAAGAGCGACAACCAGTCTACAGGAATGGTGCAAGAAATGGAGGATCCAGCTAAATCCAGATAAGACCGAGGCGATGCTCCTCAGGAAGAGCCGCAAGACCCCTGAAGGCAACCTCAAGATGACAACCACAGAAGTGCTGAGAGGCCTGGTGCGTGACGAAGAAAAAGAGGTACAGTGGACAGACACCAGCAAGTACCTCGGCGTCAAGATAGATAAGGGTCTCACCTGGAAACACCATATAGAAGCCCAAGTGCAGAAAGCCAAGATGGCAAGAGCCAAGCTAAGACCGATGCTTGGAAGAAGGAGCAAGCTCTCCCTGAACAACAAAATGCTGCTGATCAAGATGGTGCTCCTACCGATTATGACCTACGCGTCAGTTGCTTGGGGCTACGCAGCCAAGACGTGGAAGAAGAAGCTCCAAGCACAACACAACATAGCACTCCGAGAAGCGGTCAACGCACCGTGGTACGTGCCAAACCGAGTGCTATACGAAGACCTGAGACAAGTGCCAGTGCTCGAAGTGATGAAGACCAGAGCTCGGAAGTTCTTCAACAACGCCGAAGAACACGAGAACCAGCTCATCAAGGCCGCCTTGGACTACGATCCAAGGTTCATACATAGGCACAAAAGACCGAAGAGCCAGCTGCTAGAAGATATGGGACACAGCAGCTGATGAGTCCTAAAGAAGAGGGGTAGAACCTCGCGAGGAAGGTACTGCATGCAAGATAGGCAAAGTCCTGTGCAGTACCGGTGGTCAGACGGCGAAGATTTGCCATGCTGAATGCACCGATCTCATTTGAGGTGCGGGGCATTTAGATGGCACTAACAAGCGGGCCTTCTGACGACTTCGGCATTTGTCGGCGTGGTCAGGAGGCAACACTCAAGAAAGAAAATCAAAAAACCGAAGAACCCAAAAGCCGTCTTGGGAAACCTTAATGCGGACCTCAGGTCAAGGTCCCACCGATGGAACCCCAAATAGAGGACGACTCGTAAAACCGGAGAAAGGTACACGAGTATAAATGACCACTTCCGTTCTGCAGCCGTGCTTCCGCGTCGTGATTAGCTTACCACACCTTTCGGCGGGGCAAAATTCCGAGGGGGGGAAAAGCGCGAAAATTTAAAGGGCAAAATTGGGTGGGGGGTGGGGTTTGCGTCCGACAGGAACACAAGTTGCAGGAGCGTCCAGTCCACGTACCGCCACTGGGGCCGGAAAGAGTGAGGGTACCTGGACCGGGGAGGTGGTGGGTTCGCTTAGGAACTTTGTGTTCCTGTTCCAGTCGTTCCGTTAGTCGAGCGTTGGTGTCGATTATACTCAGCATCATCTCACAATAAAATGCCACCCAAAACTAGCGGTAAGGCTGCCAAAAAAGCGGGCAAGGCGCAGAAGAATATCTCAAAATCTGACAAGAAAAAGAAGCGCAGGAGGAAGGAAAGTTACGCAATTTACATCTACAAAGTACTGAAGCAGGTACATCCCGATACGGGTATATCCAGCAAAGCGATGAGCATCATGAACAGCTTCGTCAACGATATTTTCGAACGTATCGCTGCGGAAGCTTCCAGATTGGCACATTACAACAAACGTGCCACGATAACTAGCAGAGAAATTCAGACAGCCGTACGACTATTGCTACCGGGAGAATTGGCCAAGCACGCAGTCAGCGAAGGTACCAAAGCCGTCACCAAGTACACCAGTTCAAAATAATATAGACGTTGTATTCGCTTCGACGGTTATACGGTTCGAAAAATAAGAACAAAAAAAAAACGGTTCTTTTCAGAACCACTATGTTATGATAAAATGCAAAATGATAATTAGCTGTGGTCGTTATTTTAATCTTTTCATCTATCTCTCTCTCTCTCTCTCTCGCTCTCTCTCTCTCTCTCTCTCTCTCTCTATATATATATATATATATATATATATATGTATAGAAGAAGTCCGTAATATCTGGAAGATGTCACCTGTATCACTGCACTGGGAAACAGTACCGTGATCGTAGGTGATCTAAACGCGAAGTCCACCATTTGGGGCTCAAGAAACAGAAACAGTCACGGCGCTGTTCTGGAAAGACTAATGGATGAACCTGGATATACCATGATAGGTCCGGACGAACCTACAATATACCCCAGCAACGGAGGTAGACCAGACGTCATAGATATGGCGATTCTGAAGGAAATCGACATGCGCACCACCATCGGCGCCATGCAAGAGGGAAGCTCAGACCACAACCCCATCTTTCTCTGTACGGGAGATGGGATAACACCTGTGGAACAAAGAACAGTGAAGAGAGTGAATTGGCAGCGGTTTAGAACCAGACTGCACTATTCACAAGGACCACTACTACAGATCGAAAGCCCCGAAAGCATAGAAGAAGCGGTCACGGACCTAGAAAGGAAGATTAAGGCTGCGTTAGAAGCCGCAACCACCGTGGAAGACATAACGCAACCAAACAGGTTCAGGGACCTACCTGACGAGGTAAATCGCAAGATCACCGAAAGAAACAGAGCCCGAAGAGTAGCCCAGGAGACCAGAAGCCCCACTGACATCATGGTGGCAAACAGACTTATGAGACAGGCACGAGACGCCTTGAAGCAGCACCATCAGAGCACCTGGGATAAGAAACTCGACGAACTATCTCCAGCTGACCCAGGAATGTGGAACTTGGCTAAAATCCTCAGAAATAGAAGACAGCCCATCCCCCCAATACACAGCGAACAGGGGATGGTGTACACAACCGAAGAGAAGGCGGAAGCTTTTGCTGACAACCTTCAGAGACAGTGTACTCTCAATACTCACCCCGATGAAGACGAAGACTTCATCGACGAGGTGATGAGAAGATCGAGGAGAGCTGTCAGAGGAGGAAGAGCCATCGAAGACATGCCCTCTCCAGGCGAGGTAAGGGAAATCATCGAAAGACTCAAGGTGAAGAAGGCACCGGGTGTAGACGATATTGGGAACAGAGTCCTGAAGAGACTCCCGAGGAAAGCGATAATGGCAATTACCAACATCGTCAACGCCATACTGAGACACCGGTACTTTCCAGATCACTGGAAAGTAGCCGAGGTGATCAACATTCCTAAACCTGGGAAAGACCCAAGGTTCCCCCAAAACTACAGACCCATAAGCCTGTTGACGGCACTGAGCAAGATTGCGGAAAGGGTAATCGAACGAAGACTGAAGAACGAAACCGAAGAACTCCGAGTAGTTCCAGACGAACAGTTCGGATTCCGATGCGGGCATTCAGCAGAGCACCAGGTCCTAAGGCTGGTCGAGATGGCAACGAAATCGTTCCAGACTCGGCGGGCCGTGGGAGCTGTGTTCATGGATGCCGCAAAGGCGTTCGACACTGTTTGGCATGACGGACTGATCTACAAGATGGTAGACCACGGATACTCAAAGGGGATGATCCAACTGGTGAAGTCCTACTTGAAGCACCGAAATTTCCGAATTAGGATCGGTAAAACAACCTCGACGACGAGGACTGTGGAGGCAGGAGTACCGCAGGGAGCGGTTCTACCACCCCTGCTGTATCCAATCTACAGCTCAGACATCCCGAAGACTCCTCAAACGCAACTGTATGTGTATGCGGACGATACAGCATATGCGGCAGAAAGTACGAGACCCCGCATGGTTACGGAATATCTGCAACGAGCGACCACCAACCTAGAGGAATGGTGCATCAAGTGGAAGATCCGCCTCAACCCCGAGAAGACCGAAGCGGTACTGTTCCGAAGAAATCGAAGATTACCTCAGACCAAAATAAAGATGACGACCACCAGAATGGAGAGAGGCTGGAGAAGAGATGAAGAGGTTGAGGTCGACTGGAAAGACTCCAGCACATACCTTGGAGTCAAGATGGACCAGAAACTCACTTGGAAGAACCATGTCGAAGACCGGGTGCAGAAAGTGAAGATGGCACGCTCCAAACTAAGACCCTTAACGGGCAGAAGAAGCAAAGTGTCACTAAAGAATAAGACCATCATGATTCAGATGGTGCTGCTACAAATCATGACTTACGCAGCAGTAGCTTGGGGCTACGTTTCCAAAACGATGAAGAAGAGGCTCCAAGCTCAACAAAACATGGCACTCCGTGAAGCGGTGGACGCACCGTGGTATGTACCTAACAGAGTGCTATATGACGAACTACGACAGGTACCGGTCGTAATCCAGATGAGAGAGAGGGCCAGAAAGTTCTTTGAAAAGAAATGTGCATATATTTCAACACGATACTTTACTCTTATACACTTTACTATTCATTGAACGAATTTGCCTTTTTATTATAGGCGATGATGTAGCGACGTTCGAAAAGATAATAAGGAACATTTATAGTAAGATCGAGCGCACACACGTGTATATTACCCGAACGAGGTGTTGTTGTTTGTGTGTAACACACAACCTCTTCCCTCGTCTCGTCGTGTACGCGAGTGCGTATCTTTTTTATAAATCTTATTGAAAATCTTTTCGTCGTCCCACCATCATATAATACGTATAATTTTCGAACGCACCACGCCGTATAGAGCGCTTCTAGTACGCGCGAGCGCGCGCTCGGGGTACGTTCCGACACGCGTATATCGCATAGACATAATATTGTGTTGTATGCGTATGCGTATGTACACACGTGTCTCTACGACGTCGTCGTCTGTACGGATGGCGATATTTTCGACGGGTAACTCTATATGGGAGAAGAACGGAGATATGTCGTCGTGTCCGCACGACTCATTTCCTTCTTTTCCGGTTGTTTTTAAAGATATTCGCCCGTTAGTCGAAATTTCTACGCCATACGAAAAGACGGTACAAGAGGACGACACGTGTTGTACGCTTAATACATACATATATATTCATGTTATGTACAACTCTGTTGTAGTGTTATTTGTACCCCTTGCACACGCGTATGCTATAGAAGCGCGATACGGATAGAATGCGCGCGTACACGAGAGACTTCGTCGGCACGCTCGTTTGTTATAAACGCGCAAAAATAATTTTGCGCGTTTGCCGCGCAAAATACACGAAGTCTCCGTGAGAAATGCGCGCTTTCTTTTTTTTATATATTTTCTTTAATAACATTAGCCATTATCATAACAATAAAGACGTATCGATATATATTTTATATATATAGAGATCGTCTAATTAAAAAACGATTACCCTGAACGGTGAATCACTTGGCTCGTGGGTCGATGAAGAACGCAGCTAATTGCGCGTCAACTTGTGAACTGCAGGACACATGAACATCGACATTTCGAACGCACATTGCGGTCCTCGGATACTGTTCCCGGACCACTCCTGGCTGAGGGTCGTATCAATTTAAAAGACTGCTCGGTTTCCTCTCCGATCTCTGTTCGCGTCGTCGTATTATCTCTTTATCCGAGAGACGACGACGACGACGACGACATGAGAGAGGAGAATGAAACGTCGGAGCGTGTTGGATGTAGACGCGGCGGTACGACGCGACGACGCTAGTTATTATATATTTATTTATGTAATATCGTAAACGTCGTCGTCTTTGTCGTCGTCGCGGCATCTCAAAACGCGAAAGCGACGATTCGTTCGTCATACGAACGAATCGTAAACTCACACATAGAACGAACACGCGCGCTGTACGGATAAAAATCGTAATAGCACTACATATATATATATATATATATATATGTATATATGCTGTAGTCGTTACGCGTTTCGAACTTGCGCTGCGATCGTCGTGTCCGAGAGAGAAATTATTTTTTTCGAGATAACGACGTCTGATCGCATATACGCGCTAAACACTAGAGAACGCTTTCGACTAGTAGTAGTATAGCAGCAGCAGCTATACGATTTAGTATTAGCGATCGCGTGTGACATATATATCTGTGTGTGGTGTTGTGTTGTATATTGTTAACCGACCTCAGAGCAGGTGAGACTACCCGCTGAATTTAAGCATATTACTAAGCGGAGGAAAAGAAACTAACTAGGATTCCCTCAGTAGCTGCGAGCGAACAGGGAAAAGCCCAGCACCGAATCCCGCGGTCGATATCGGGCGCCGGGAAATGTGGTGTTAGGGAGGATCCGTTTATCCCGAGGTCGCGCGGCGAGTCCAAGTCCTTCTTGAACGGGGCCACAGCCCATAGAGGGTGCCAGGCCCGTAGTGGCCGCTGCCGATCGCGGGAGGATCTCTCCTCAGAGTCGGGTTGCTTGAGAGTGCAGCCCTAAGTGGGTGGTAAACTCCATCTAAGGCTAAATATGACCACGAGACCGATAGCGAACAAGTACCGTGAGGGAAAGTTGAAAAGCACTTTGAAGAGAGAGTTCAAGAGTACGTGAAACCGTTCAGGGGTAAACCTGAGAAACCCGAAAGGTCGAAAGGGGAAATTCATTCGCGTTTCGGCCGTCGGCGATGAGCGGTCGCGCGACGGACGGCGTTCGCGCGTCGTCCGCGCCTTTCGCTTTTCGATCCGGCGTCGAACGCGTGCACTTTTCCCCTAGTAGGACGTCGCGATCCGTTGGGTGTCGGTCTACGGCTCGCGGTGGAGTCCGTGTACGATCGTTTCGGCGATTCGTGCTCGAACCCGCGATGTTCCGGCCGACTCGCTCGACGGTATACAGATGGCGCGAGGCCGCTACTTCTTCAATTAGCGTCCGACCCACGACAAGCACGTTCGATGCTAAGACGGCGATCGGACCTAGCGCCCGGTTCCGTCCCCGGACGACTGTTGGTCGTGCGGATTTCTCGGACAGACCTCGTTTGAAACGCCGATCTGCGACGCTATAGCTTTGGGTAATTTCAGGACCCGTCTTGAAACACGGACCAAGGAGTCTAGCATGTGCGCGAGTCATTGGGACATAACTAAACCTAAAGGCGCAATGAAAGTAAAGATCCGCCTAGCGCGGATTTAGGGAAGATGGGCGGCACGTCTATAAAGCGGCCGCTCCGCACTCCCGGGGCGTCTCGTTCTCATTACGAGAAGAGGCGCACCAAGAGCGTACACGCTGGGACCCGAAAGATGGTGAACTATGCCTGGTCAGGACGAAGTCAGGGGAAACCCTGATGGAGGTCCGTAGCGATTCTGACGTGCAAATCGATCGTCGGAACTGGGTATAGGGGCGAAAGACTAATCGAACCATCTAGTAGCTGGTTCCCTCCGAAGTTTCCCTCAGGATAGCTGGCGCTCGTCTGTGACGAGTTTCATCCGGTAAAGCGAATGATTAGAGGCATTGGGGTCGAAACGACCTCAACCTATTCTCAAACTTTAAATGGGTGAGATCTCCGGCTTGCTCGAACTAATGAAGCTGCGAGAATCGAATCAGAGTGCCAAGTGGGCCATTTTTGGTAAGCAGAACTGGCGCTGTGGGATGAACCAAACGTCGAGTTAAAGCGCCTAAATCGACGCTTATGGGATACCATGAAAGGCGTTGGTAACTTAAGACAGCAGGACGGTGGCCATGGAAGTCGGAATCCGCCAAGGAGTGTGTAACAACTCACCTGCCGAAGTTACTAGCCCTGAAAATGGATGGCGCTGAAGCGTCGTGCTTATACTCGGCCGTCAGCGGCATGTGCGGTCTCGATCCGCGTAAAAACGGATCGGCCATGAAGCTCTGACGAGTAGGAGGGTCGCGGCGGTGCGCGCAGAAGGGCTGGCCGTGAGGCCGTCTGGAGCCGCCGTCGGTGCAGATCTTGGTGGTAGTAGCAAATACTCCAGCGAGGCCCTGGAGGACTGACGTGGAGAAGGGTTTCGTGTGAACAGCCGTTGCACACGAGTCAGTCGATCCTAAGCCCTAGGCGAAAGCCGATGTTGATGTGGCGTTGTTTTATAAATATATGTATGTATGTGTGTATATATAAAGAACACGCCCGTCGGGCGAAAGGGAATTCGGTTCCTATTCCGAAACCCGGCAGCGGAACCGTACAATAGTCGGGCCCTCGCAAGAGAGTTCGTCGGGGTAACCCAAAAAGACCCGAAGACGCCGTCGGGAGACCAGGGAAGAGTTTTCTTTTCTGCATAAGCATTCGAGTTCCATGGAATCCTCTAGCAGGGAGATATGGTTTGGAATGCGAAGAGCACCGCAGTTGCAGCGGTGTCCTGGTCTTCCCCTCGGACCTTGAAAATTCGGGAGAGGGCCACGTGGAGGTGTCGCGCCGGTTCGTACCCATATCCGCAGCAGGTCTCCAAGGTGAAGAGCCTCTAGTCGATAGAATAATGTAGGTAAGGGAAGTCGGCAAATTGGATCCGTAACTTCGGGATAAGGATTGGCTCTGAGGATCGGGGCGTGTCGGGCTTGGCGAGGAAGCGGGTCGCGGCTGACGTGCCGGGCCTGGGCGAGGTGAAACGTTCTGTCGTATGCGTTCGCGCGTGTGCGGTAGGATTGCGGATCCGAACTCGGTACCGTGCCTTGGCCTCCCGCGGAACCGTCTTGCTGCGAGGCCCAGAGTGCGCTCGCAAGGGCGTTCTGGTGTCCTCTTCGGCCGCCATTCAACGGTCAGCTCAGAACTGGCACGGACCGGGGGAATCCGACTGTCTAATTAAAACAAAGCATTGAGATGGCCCCTGCGGGTGTTGACTCAATGTGATTTCTGCCCAGTGCTCTGAATGTCAACGTGAAGAAATTCAAGCAAGCGCGGGTAAACGGCGGGAGTAACTATGACTCTCTTAAGGTAGCCAAATGCCTCGTCATCTAATTAGTGACGCGCATGAATGGATTAACGAGATTCCCACTGTCCCTACCCACTATCTAGCGAAACCACTGCCAAGGGAACGGGCTTGGAAAAATTAGCGGGAAAGAAGACCCTGTTGAGCTTGACTCTAGTCTGGCACTGTAAGGAGACATGAGAGGTGTAGCATAAGTGGGAGATGGCAACATCGCCGGTGAAATACCACTACTTTCATCGTTTCTTTACTTACTCGGTAAGGCGAAACGCGTGCGCCGTTCGCTCACGTGGCGGCGGCTGTCACGGTATTCTCGAGCCAAGGGCACGGAGTGGCGTATCGTCGTGCTTCGTGACTTCGTCGGTTCGTACGGACGGTTTACGCCGTTTGTGCTGCCGTCGTTGGTTCTTCGGAGTACGCGTTCGTCAACCTACCTCCAGCCTGATTCGATTCGAGGACACTGCCAGGCGGGGAGTTTGACTGGGGCGGTACATCTGTCAAAGAATAACGCAGGTGTCCTAAGGCCAGCTCAGCGAGGACAGAAACCTCGCGTAGAGCAAAAGGGCAAAAGCTGGCTTGATCCCGATGTTCA